GGTGCACCTCCCCATTATGCAACACCTGTCCGTGCTTATTTAGATGAGCTGTTCCCGAATCGTTGGATAGGGAGAAGGGGGCCGATTGAGTGGCCAGCCAGATCGCCTGATTTGACACCCCTAGATTATTTCTTGTGGGGATACTTAAAAAGCAAAGTATACGTTACTAGACCGGTTAATTTAGAAGATTTAAAAGCAAGAATTCGTCACGAGATACATCGTATACCTCCTGAAGTTATTGATAATGTCCAAAAAGAATTTATTAATCGTCTTGGCTACTGTCAGGCAGCCAACGGTGCACAATTTGAACATTTAATTTAGTCGATTTTTACATAATCATTATCATTTTCAGTATTGTGAAAATTAAATTTTAAAATCTTCAAACATTATTATCTTGAAATTTTTGTTATGTAACACCATAATTTTTCATGATCTGTGTATGTAGAATGACACGCTCTTTCAAATGGCATGGTCAAAATTGGGGGTTGCTATTTAAAAAAATTGTTGATGACGTCATATCTCGAACAACGATGACGTCACAAATATGGGTCGTATGTCAAAAAGTGCCTTTTTTAAAAACAAAATCGACGTGCCAGGGGATTTTTTCGAAAACTTCTCAGTTTAAACAATAATGAATTTATTCGTTACTTTTCGAAAGCACTGTAGATCGTCAAATTTGACGTATAAATTCATAGCCAACTTTTGAATTTTCGATGATTTTAAATAACAGCTACAATACGTACTTATTATTAGTTATTCGTGTTTTTGTTGAAAACACAAAACTTTTTAAAAACTATCAAGAGTAAGAAAAGTTCTAGAATTAAATTCCCCATAAAATAAAATAATAATTTGTTAAGTCCGTCAACGGGTTAAAAAATGATGTCCCTTTTAATGGTGCATCATCCCTTATCAACCTTTTAAAATAGCCCAATTGAACTCTACTACTTATGCGAAACATCCTGTATACATATATGCATGAGAAATAATGAATCTTGTTAATCTTAAACTTTAATTTAACACCTTTTATAATCAATAGAATTCGCATAGCAAAACTTACCTCTCATTAAACAAATTGCGTCCATCGGTGATAATAAAGTTATTGTCGTCGCAGTAATGGTTCTTTACGCATTTACAATAGTTGTTCACTTCAATGAGAGCATTATTCGCGTCGATCTCCCATTGTTCCTGCATGTAAACGCCTTCGAGAAAGAGAACCCACACCAGGACAGCCCCGCTTACCGACCAGTACATTTTCGATTAGTTACGAACAACGCCAAACGCTTTTCGTACAAATAACTCGTATTTATGGTCGACTTTGAATAATAATGATTATCGGTAAAGATCCGGGGGTCAAGAGATAATCCTGCCTTACAACTGTGATACGCGATAAACAACATCCCAACTGGACGTCGTGTGAAACCGATTTGAGGATAGGACTAGCCCGATGGTAGACCGATTTTGTGGTTTGTTTAAGTAAGACTTTGTTCAGTTAACATGCACATTGATATGATATTTCAAGGCTTAACAGCGATATAACAATAGACCTTTTTAGTAGTGACGTCACATACGCCAAATAATAGGCAACCCCATAGTAAACATTGCCATGAAGAATTTCTCAGTATTTTTACTATATCGATTTTCGACCTTATCTACTTTGGACCAAAAAAATGTCTTCTTTGTCATGACCTTAATAGGCGAGCGGTTCGCCCCTAAAAAAAAGGCATGAACCGACTAAATTTTTAAAACAAAAACCTACAACATGAAACTTTTTTTATTTTATAAAGTGTATTTTTCTGATAATTTACATATATTTTTTATATTTTTCAGCGTGGTCAGTCAATTGTTATAAACAAATAAGTTATAAAAAAAAATTACTCGGCGAATGGCTTTGAAAACAGTTTTTTATTGTAAAATGGACAAAAATAAACACTTTTTGTTCTTTGACAAAAATTCGAAAAATGCTTTTTTATTTTTCGAGACCACTAGGTCAATTATTATTATTAGGTTAAGTTTACGATTTAAAAAGCTTATTTAGTTTAGTTTTGGTATAACTTTGAAGTCAATTTTAGCCATTTATAAAACCAAAAATCTAATATTTAATACTAATTACTTGCAAAAACCTTCATCTTCATCTTCATCTAGTGGTTGGTCCTTTGAAAAGTCCCATAGCACTGCGGCCTAATTAGGCCTAGTGTGCGTCCCACTACTAGTCCTATTCAGCAAGTAGATTTGTCCTTTTTACAAAGTCCAAAAGCTTCCTTGCTGACACTTCTCTCAGTTCCTTGGGTTCCAAATAGGGTCTCCCAAGGAGCGCCATTCTGCTACGTGCAAATCCCGGGCACTCGCCCAGGATATGCAGAGAAGTTTCATCCGCCGATTCACATCCTCGGCAGACCGGACTGTCTACAAGCTTTAG